TTTCAAAGCCACGTGGCAAATTAAGTAGTAGCTTAGTCATCTCAACATGATTTATTCTGAAGGCAAGTGTAATGGCTTAGATAAGGCCACACCTCACTTACGTGGGCATTATACTCCTCTCGGCCGATTATATAAAGCAAGAGTTGATCAAATTTTCCCCACCATTTTTCCTATAGCATAACTGCAACCTTCAGCACTTATTAAGCCTCCTTCAGCAACAGCAAAGTTCAAGCAAATTTCCCAAAAATTCCATTAAATCACACGGCAAAGGAAAGTATAGCGCACGGTAGCTTAAGAGCTAATAATCATGCCTAGTTTCCGGTTCCGGTCGAGCCATCAGCGAGGTAAATCCCTCCTTAGTTCATAATATTATTAGTAAGATTGATTCAAGATTAATTATTCAGATCATATTTGGGAATTTCTCTCAAAACCGTGCCTATGTTCGATTCAAGTTAACTAAGATCACTATCGAGTTAAGTTTAAATTTTTCCCGCAAGTCCTGAACAATCATGTTCTTTTAAGCTTTTATTTGAAGTATTATGATCAGTTGAATAAGATTGGTCGGTAAAAGTTGGAGTTTTGTCGATCAATTGGCCAAAGCCGTCGCTAGTGCTTATCGCACGTAGCTACGGGCGGCCGTGGTTCATGACGTTGAAAGTCTAGTATAAGTCAGGTTCTTCAGTGTGTTTAAGTCCAAAATTGCTTCAGATTAATGTTCGTATTGAGATGTTCTGAAGTTGTCGGTTAATAATCAGTTTGGCCGAGAGACGGCACAAAGCCGTCGGCGGCGCACGGGCGTTCGCCGCGGCCTTTCATGATCACAGCGTGCGTAAGTGCATGTTCAGGTCCTAATATGCATGTTAAGTCAGATAGTGATCAATGATGTTATATTGGTCGAGAACCTTTTGGTTTTGGTCGAGGTTGGCCGAAGGCCGTAAGCCTCGCACATAGCGAGCGCGCCACGGCCGAGTGTTCGGTTCAACAAGTCAAATTCAGTTATTTCACGTTAAATTCAGTTTGTTGCTCATGAATAGTCATAACATGTTAATATAAGTCAGTTTGGTCGATAAGTTCGCCGGACGGTCGGCACGGGG